CCCTCCCCATCTCCGCCAGTCAGCCGCCATCGCCTCTCTCCCCCGCTCTCTCCCTCCCCGCTCGGTCTCCCTCCCCTCCCCCGCCTCCCTCCTCCACCTGCCACTCCCGCTGCACCTCCCCCTACACCTCCCTCCTCCTCCCCCGTTCGTCCTCTGCCCCCCCCCCTCCCTCCCCAGCTCCGCCTCCCTCTCCCGCTCCGCCCCGCAGCGCCCTTCCAAGCACCTCCCCTCACGCCACCAGCGCCTCCCAAGCGTCGTCGCCTCCCTCCCCTCCCCCTCCTCCCTCCCCCGCTGCACCTCACCCTACACCTCCTTCCTCCTCTGCGCCTCTCTGCCCCTCCCCCCTTCGCCGCCAATGCCGTCCCGAGGAACTTCGCGTGGCCGGCGGCGATCATGGTTATTATATTAACATGTTAACTTTTACGGTTAACATGTTAACTCATAACAGTTAACATGTTAACCCTAAGAGTTAACATATTAACAGTAAGAGTTAACATGTTAGCCCTAAGAGTTAACAGTTAACCGTAAGAGTTAACATGTTAGCTCTAAGAGTTAACATATTAGTCGTAAGTGTTAACATCCGCTGGCATGAGAAAGAGAAGGGTAAAATTAGGATTTAAGTCAGATGACATATCTAATCATGAGCTGGTATGTCTAATCATCTGTTGGCATGAGCTGGAATCATGATGAATGGGCCTGGACATAATTTTTTCAAAACAAGGGGCTGCAGCACATTTAAAAAAATATGGGGGGGCTGGAGCACATTGAAAGTTGGATTTTAGGGCCTAGAAGCAATTTCCCCATTAAATAATGGTAATACTTTTTAATATTATATGACTTTATGTTGTAAAGAATATTACCTTGTTTGATAATTAATATCAAATAAATGGTGTAATAAAAAATTGGATGGTACGTATAAATTAAAAATACTATTATTTAGAAAAAGTAGTTTCTATAAAAATATTGGATCCTTAAAATATATGAGACATTTACTTTCCAACAAAAAAGTGCATAACTCATAAATTTTAAGGATCCAATATTTTATTGCACTATGTTCATAATGTCCAATTTTTATGTCTAAGACGATATTATAATATCGTAAAGGGTACTAATCGTTATAATATAAAAATCCTAATTATACTATTATTAATAATTATAATTATGTACAATATTTTATTAAATAAATAATTTTACTATTTCATCACAATTAATAATTATTTTATAATAAATTATAATATATTTATTAATTTTATTATCATTATAAATTATTAGTATATTCTAGCGAGTGTCCAAATATTTTGAAGAAAAGAAGAGAAAAATATATGTCTCATAAATTTCAAGGATCCAAATTTTTTTATATAAATTAATTTTCTAAAATAAAAGTATTTTTAACTTATAATGTCCAAATTTTTATTACTAATATGATATTAACTATCGAACAATGTAATATTCTTTACAACATAAAGAAATAACCCTTATTTATACTATTATTAATAATTATAATTATGTGCAATAATTTATTAAATGAATGACTTATATTATTTTATATAATTAATAGTTTTTTATAATAAACTATCATATATTCATGAATTTTGTTATCATTATAAATTATTAATATATTCTAGTGAATAACCAAATAATTTGAGAAAATGAAAGGGTGCATAGTTAATGAGAGGTTATGGATCATTAGTTTTGTAATTAATGATATAATTTGAGTTATTAAAAATTGAGAGGATAATAAAGGAAATCAAAAGTTTTGACATGAGTATTTTCTTTTATAAAAAATATAGATATAAAAAAGGTTATTTCATATATGTGTTTTTTCAATATTAGTCTCCACAAGTCTTCCATACCTTGATATTTGTTCCCCACATATTTATATTTTGAATTAGTCCTCAAGTCGTTGTATTCAAAACTACTCCCACAAATCTAAATATTTTAAAATTAATCCCCAAATCATATATAAATATTTTGAAATTAGTCCCTCTACTTAGCATGAGGTTCAAAGATTTGGGGGGGACTAAGTTCATAACATTTATAATATTTTAGGGACCAGTTTAAAAATGTACAGATTCTGGGGACTAATAAAAAATATGGGCGACGTTGAGGACTGAGTTTTTAAATTAAAAAAAGTGGGGGAAAAACCATATGAAGAACTAGGAAGAGCCCGTGATCAGCCTCGTCCAGCTTCCATTATTAGAAAGCGCTGAACGATTGGTCAGAAGCGAAAAAAATGCGAAAGGTTTGAATCGAAAGCTTCGCTGCGGTGACGGGACCATCCGGTGAACGTAGCCAATGGGAACAGTTGCTTTTAGCTGGTGGGAGCTGGGAATTGATTCCGAGGACGGCGGTGATTGGTTGGCGGAGGACGGGAACTTGGTGGTCCTGTTGCTTGCTCCCGTACTCTTGGATTGGACTTTTCTGGTAACTCTTTCCTTTTTCCTACTGTTGCCCCCCTTCCCCTTTTTGATGGCGCCCCGGGTTGGGCCTGGCTCCGGTGGGGCCCACGCCCTGCTTTCCTTCAGTATTTCTTTTGACTGAAATGCCCTTCGTGTATTCTTTTTTATATTTGTTTTTCTTGGGCTAAATTTTTTTTTTATAGACATGGAAAATAACAATGATGGAGTGTTTTAGGGGTTGTTTCGTTGCTCCATTTTTTTTATGGAAAATAAAGAAAAACTCAAAAATATAATGTCCACATAATCTTTTCTAATATAGATTTATTTTCTTTGTTTAGTTCACTTCTTGAAACCAAGAAACACCGAGAGAAAAAAAGGATGTCACGATCACTCGTTGTATGATGTGAGTCCTATTCAAGGATACACATTTCATGGGTTTTGGTGAGGAAATCGGAGGAAACCATGCTTTGATGATTTCCATCTCTATTTTCCTTTTCTTTTATTTACAAGAAACCGAACGAACATGCTCTAATTATACTGGTTTGTGTATGTATTATTACAAGCCTCCACTTATTACCATATATCGCAATATACAATAAACAAAAATCTTTATCGAATACGTTTGAATTAGTATGCCTCTTAAATGGATAAATAATACTGTAATATTGTTCAAGAATTTTTTTATAGATTCTCATGAACTTAATGCGGGTGTTTCTTTAATCAGAACAATAAAGGTATAGAAGCTCGAGTGGTGTATTATCAATAATAGTAGGTAAATATTAAAGGCAGAAGAGGAGGAAGGACCCATTGCAACTTGCAACAAGGATCTTTCAACTACAGTATCCTTTCTCTAGATCTTCACGTATAAATGCACTGTTGCTTGTAATTTCATTGCTGTATAATTTTATAAAATCAAGTAGATAGAAGTGAAACATGTGAAACTATGTTAGGTATACCGACCAATCTATAATGGGATTAATCTATAACTTATACTCTTTGTATAAAATGTCATACTTCTTTGGACGCGTATATCATTGGCCTATATTAACTATTAATTAAAACATTTTAGTCTTATATCTGGACGAACTATAAGATAAACTTTCCTTGTTCTTGACACAAACAAGAGAACCATAACAAATCTCAAATAGCATTTAGATGTCAGTACAAACCTTTTACCTGCAACTAGATTGAGTCTCAACAATAAATATTTACGGAGGTCAACTTAAGTGGACAAGAGGCCTTTGTCCACCAAACTTTCTATCCACTTATATAATGTCTCTTCATATCTTGTATGGATCCTTAGGTATCATCTCTTCATATCTTGTATGGATCCTTAGGTATCATCAATGGATAGGAAGTTTGGTGGATGGTCCACTTAAGTTGACATAAGAATTTCTCGATATATATGTTCTTAATAAATTTGTTTTGTTGGAACAAAATATATTTTCATGATTAAAAAAAAAACAAGCAACCTTTACTTCCAAGACACATGACCTCTTTTTAATTGGCCCCACATCCTCCTATGATGTAAAAAATACATCAATTCTAGCCCAATGCAAACCAAATATGAACTTGTGTATCTAGACTCAAATAACAAAATACTTCCCTTCCTCACAAAACAAAAGAGAAAAAGAAAATCTAAACCACAAAAGGAAATAGTAAAGAGTAAAACCCTCAAACTCTCAACAAATCCTAAAAAAGACCCACAACATACAAAAAAGCAACGCGTAGCCAAGACAAGCGATAAGAAAAGGAAAGGCTCATGTGGCAATTAACTACTAATAATGGCAACAAAGAGACTAAAGTAAAAAAAAAAAAAAAATCCTAGAGGGGAGAGGATTTAAACGGGGAAGGTGAGGAGTCACACTCTCCTCCTTTGGAAACGGGGAGACACATGGATCATGCTTTTCGATTTGGTTAACGTGGGAGAGTAGAAATAACCAAAGAGATTCGGATGCTCCTCATTATTTTTCTGTGGTTTTTTCTGTATAAACCCAAATCTTTGCCCTAATTTATTTTTCAACCCACTTTCTCTCGAAATCAGTTTCAAATACAAAATAACATACTGATCTATTTTACACGTGTCATTCGTTAGTGTTTTCGCTATTTTTTGTCTAATTAACTATGTTTATGTTTAAGTTGCTATATTTTTAATGTAAGTCGAAATGTTCTTCATTAAATTGCATCAAACCCTCTCATCTATACTTTAGCAGTACTTGCTACCTCTCAACTATTTCACCAACTGTTAACACCCCTTGATTCATATGGGAGATGGGGTTATCCGCAATTTTCCTTTCCAAATATGGAATTCATGGAATGTAAGTGCTAGTAATATAGTTGAGGGGGTGATAAATGTTACTAAAAGCTTAAATCAAAATTAAAAAAAAAACCCAGTAAACAGAGTGTATATACATAATTGGATTTAAAATAATCGAGTACAATATCGTTTAAAAATGATTTAGAAAGTGGGTGGGTTCAAGAACAAGTAAGGATAAACTTTGGGTTTAGAAATGTTTAAAAAAAAAAAAAACCCTATTTCCCTTTCTCTTTTATTGCCCTCTTTTATCTTTCTATCCCATTTATAAAGATCAAGGGCTATTTAAGTGAAAGTGAAGCATAAGCAATGAGAGAGCGAACACCGAGGAGAGAGAAAGAAAGAGATCAAATCAAACTAGAACAAGCTTTGCTTCTCTCTCTCACGTCCTAGGTTCTCAGCTTTTACAAGAAAACTAGAAGAGGAGAGCGAACCAAAGAGAGACGACAAAAGGGTATTCTCCTCTTTGTCCCTGGGGACGGGAAATACCAAAAAGCTGAGATCTTGATGACACAAAAGCTCTGCATTTGAGAGCAAAACAAGGCAAGGGAGCTGCTTTAGTGGAAAGGAGTGATTTTGGTGGGAAATTTGGATGTGGGATCTGAACGGATCGCCGAAGAGAATGGGGGATCCGGTCACCTTCCAGTTTTTCCCAGTCAGTGAGCCGGCGGAGGACGGGATCCAGGGCGGTGAGATCACCGCAGTTGCTCCTCGGGCCCACTGGGCCGGTGTTAAGTTCGTGGAGAAGGCCGCTGACGTGTCGCCGGCGGTTAAGAAGAGCCGGCGGGGCCCACGGTCGAGGAGCTCGCAGTACAGGGGAGTTACCTTTTATAGGAGGACTGGGAGATGGGAGTCTCATATTTGGTTAGTTTCCAATTAGCTAAAAAAGAAAGGGGGGGAAAAACTTTATTTTGATTGGTTGGTTGTTGATTTTGATTTTTTGGGTTTGGTTTGTTCGTAATTTTTGTAGGGATTGTGGGAAACAGGTTTATTTAGGGGGTTTTGACACTGCTCATGCTGCTGCTAGGTATATATATATATATTTTTTGCGATTTTTTTTATCTATATAATTTTATATGAAGTTAAAATTAGAACTCAGTGAACTGAGCTGTATTGGTTTATACCTGGAACAGAGCTTATGATCGTGCTGCGATCAAGTTCCGAGGAGTGGAGGCTGATATAAACTTCACTTTGAGTGATTATGAGGATGATCTGAAACAAGTGAGTGAATTAAAAACTGGTCTTTTTTTTGGGCTTAGATATGTGTAATTTTGAAACAAAATTTTAACAGAGTGGAATTAATTGATTTTAACGTTTGCAGATGGCCAACCTGACAAAGGAGGAGTTTGTTCATGTTCTTCGTAGACAGAGTACAGGGTTCCCGAGAGGGAGCTCTAAGTATCGAGGTGTCACATTGCATAAATGCGGGAGATGGGAGGCGAGAATGGGTCAATTCCTGGGCAAAAAGTAATTCATTTATTGATTTTGTGTTAAATTTATAGACATTTATATCATCTAACTCTAATCTTTTGTTTTTGACAGATATGTCTATTTGGGCCTATTTGATACAGAAGTTGAGGCTGCAAGGTATAAGATTTTCTCTATTATTAATGGGGTATTATATCGATATTTCTATTATGAAAACTTACTGTATTCTGTGGTTTCAGAGCTTATGATAAAGCTGCAATCAAGTGTAATGGGAAGGATGCAGTGACCAATTTCGACCCTAGCATCTATGAGAGCGAACTGAGTTGCAATGGTGAGATACCGATAGATGTTTATATATCATTCAACATTTTCGTGTCATAAATGTTGTTGGTTAATGTTTCTGGTAATGTTGTAGGTAGCCAAAGTGATCATAATCTTGAGCTGAGTCTGGGAAGCTTGAGCTCGAAGAGGACTAGTGTCGAGCCAATGGATGAAGAAGGCTCTGTTGGAATGGATCAGAGAGCGCCAATGGATGAGTTCGATTGGAAACGCAACACAAGGCCAAAGGTATTATTAGTTCTACATCTCTGGGCTGATCATTAATATACATCAAATAGTAAGTGGCGATCACCTGAAACCAAAAATAAATTATGCAAATGAGCAGCAAAGTTTCAATCAGGAATAGATACTGCAGAGCAGTGAAAGTAGCAATACCTGGAAATTAGTGACTACCACAAAAGTTATTTTGTAAGCAAGTTTCAGCGGCTTTTCCTAGTTAGAACATCTATTTTCGAATACCATTAGATGTTCTTCATGTTTATTAGTAATCTTTTCCTTGAGTTCTGAACAGGAAAGAATGAACACTAAAAAAATTTAATCATTTTTACCTAATTACTGATAGAGGGCAATTTCATGTACAAAGAACATTCTTTTTGCACAGGTGGTTCTATTCTAATAACTTGTCAATCTAGCAATTTCTTTTAATTTGATCTATTTCTTTCCTTCCCCCCTCTAATATATCGAGAAGCTAAAGCCAGAATTGAGTACTCAAATAGCATTCAGGCCTAGTGAGACAGTCGAGTATCCTCTGTCGATGATCATCAACTCCACCCCAGTGATCAAACCCTCTGATCTTTACCAAGTGGGTTACTCCCATGTAGTAGAAAATCATTCGAAAGATCAATTTTATTTGATCTCATTATATTATTGATTTCATGATGCAGTTTCCAAGCAATAACGATATATCTGTCACCGGAGGTGGAGGCCTTTCTTTATCAATAGGCAGCGAGCAAACCCCTCTCTCTTCAAAACTGCTCGCCGCAAATACTGCAGCATCATCAGGATTCCCGCCACAGTTAGTGAAACCAACTCCTATTTGGTTTGGGCTTCAGTCTCTCATGAGACCGAGCTAAGTTGTCTCTCTCTTCTGCAGACAAATTGCCAGGCTATTGGCATAATTTTGTTGCAAATGTAGCCACCACTGAAATGGGAGGAGCTCTTCTTTTACTGTTATTTGATGAGAGTGGTGGATACAAGAGAGTAGTTTCAGAGTGTAGACGCTTTTCTTTTCAGTTTATTTTAGTTGACGATTTCTAATTCTCAATTGTGTTTTTTTTAATGGTGTTTTTCTTCTTGGTGCACGTACGTAATTTTGTTTTATCTTGCCTTCAATTCATATAAAGTTGCTGACATATCAAAGAGAGGGAGAATCATAGAAATGGGTAATCATGGGAGAATCTTATTTTTGCTTGCTCGTGTTCTCAACAATGTACTGGATACTAACTTCAATTATTAAAGGTGTTAGTCTTTGCTCCTAAGATTGACAGACTGTCATACTTCGCAAATAGTATTTGGATCAAATTTTGGTCTTATACTAATTTTCTTGAGATATGGATCTGCAAAACAATTTTGAGTTCATGACTAGTTTTCCTAACAAATTTTCTTTGGAAATGAATAAGAAATTTCGGACACATTAATTTGGATCAGGCAGTTATTTGTACTATATCCACTATTTCAACGGAATCCTAAGGATTAGATGGAAGCAAACATGTCCTAAGTTTTTGAAGTGACATTTTTGTACACTTCTCCCGAGTTCTTCGCAAATCTAAGATGCTTTAGCAGTAGGACTCTATCAAGACCACCATTATAAGAGTGCGGTGCTTTACATCATAGATTGAATATGCACAATGTTGGGGTCCGAGGAAATCCACGCAAACACTGAGAGAAGGTCACACGAGATCAAAACAATGGCACGAACACAAACAAACGAATTTTACGTGGTTCGACAAGTTGCCTACGTCCACGGGGCAAGAAGGGGATGTGTTTTCACTAATAGAGAAGGAAGAGTACAAATAGAGATTACAAAATCACTCAAATCTCTCAAACAAAACTCTCTAATCTCTCAAACAAAACCCTAAACCAATAGCCCAGAAAAACTCTCTTTTCTGTACTCAAAACAACCCTTTCAACTGCTCCAAACCTTAAAAAGCGTGGTTGCTATTTATACCAAACAACAAACCCAAACCAAACAGAAAACCAAAATTAGGCCCAAACCCAACGCGCGGTCGACCGCACTTGACGCCGCGGTCGACCGACCAGAACGATAAAAAACCAATAAATCGATTACAGTGTTTGGCGGTCGACCGCCAAAATCGTCGCGGTCGACCGTCATCAAGTCCAGAAAGCTCCCTGAGGTTGTGCACATTTCCGGTCGACCGCTCCAAAGCTCGCGGTCGACCGACAAGCATCCAAAACTCTGCCTGCTCTAAAAAATATTGTTCTTCTCTAATGTTTTCGCCGTTTCTACAATTCTTCACTTCGACGAAGTTTTTCCAAAACTGAGCCGACACCAACCAAACCAAACGTCCCACTTGTTGCGTCTAGTACGAAGTGGAATCAATCCACGACAACAGACTCAATCCACAACAAGTCGAGAACCCAAACGAGAATGCGAACAATCTCCAAATGTCGGTATCAACTCACCAAACCGGCTGCATCAAAATGACTGCCTACGTATCATCTTACGCAAGGAATCAAGCCACACATAGTTCATCAAATGGCCTCCAAAGACCCTCAATCAACTAGAAGGATTCTCAATCCTGCATGAATATCACCAAAAAATCTGCAGCTGATAACTCTCTCACTGGCCTCAAAGTGAAACGAACTAAACACCTTCACCTGAGGTGAACCAACGGCCATAGTCAAATCCGAACCGTGTCTACATGCTGCACTCGAATCAACAAACTCATCATCTACATCCACACCAATATGATCCCCAATCTGTGTACCTCAGTTGGAATCCCAAACGATAAAGAATGATCTGGAGAACGTGGAGTAATCTCCATCCAACGTGGAGTAGCATCACTTTCCACCCGCTGTGATATTCCAATGATCTGTCCAACATCTCCACCTGCTGAGAGTCAAAAGTGACATACCTACCCAGAACAATATCAGAGTCCCATAACTGATAAACAAACACGCCTCTAAATCCTAAATGTGCACTCGGATCAAATTTTACATTTTTGATAAAATTTCACATCCTCGATGTGACTATATACTGGGCATCCAAATATCCGAAGCAATCCAAAATCTGAAGCAGCTCTACCAGATCCAAATACTCCAAACGTAGCAGTCGGTAACCTATGAATAAGATGACTCCAATATGTCAAAGCCTCATCACCAAAACTCCTCTACAAAACACTGCTCGACATCAAACACCGATCTTCCTCCAGCAAAGAACAACTCATCAAATCTGTCATCTCATCTCGTTGCCCCAATGTTTCTTTTCCAATGAAGTGTCTCACTGCTTTGAGCTAGGTACAAATGCGGAAAATGACCCCTCTTAAACTTCCTATCAAAATTAGAACGAAGTATTACATTTCTGCCTATACACTTTTTCCACCTGTTGTTGACTACTAGGACTTCACTCCAACGGGACTTGGTTGTAACCCATAAATGTCTAGAACAGTCCTCAACACAAGAAACTAAATACCTATTGTTAGACCCTAGAGGGGGGGTGGGGGGTGATTAGGGTCTTATGCTAATCTAATCCGATTTAAATGACAATTAAAACTAATTCAAATATATTCTTGCAAGATAGATATACAAGAGTTATAAGCAAGAATAAGCAATATGAATAAAGAGATATATCCTATATGATAAATACATGTAAGGATATATAAACTAGCACAAGATGATATATCCTACCAAAGAGATATACAATATAATATATGCAAGGATATGTAAACTAACACAAGGGTAAACAATATGAACTAGATAGTGGATGATAAAAATAATGAGCTATGGACAATGGCGACAATAAATATAAACAAAAGATTAAGTGCGCCAAAGCAAACTCAAACACACGATATGATCACGGAGTTCGGACCTTCCGTCCTACGTCTCCGCTCCCCTCTCCCGGGGAGAAATCCACTATCAAAATCGGGTTTTCTACGCTCACCCGAATAACGTTTACAACCACACTATGTCGGTTTTCAACGATCACCGATCAACGTATACACTCACTCACAATGTCGGTTTTCAACGTTCACCGATCAACATCCACTCCTCACACTCGGTTTTCTAGCTAACCGAAAACTTTACAATCTCACAAAGATAACAAATGATTTGTTCTCTAATACAATGCGAGAACTCAATTAAAGCTTAACTCAATGTTATAATTTCTCATAACCCTAATATACTATGTATGTAAATACTAAAAGCTCATGTGGGTGTGTGTAACAATGAGAATAAATAAAACAACTAAACTCAAATAAAATCTAGCATATAGAAATTATGAATAAAACAATAAATAGCTAGAAATAGAGTTTAGGAATTCTTCTTTGAAAACCAAGATGGATAGATGGATTAAAAGGAAGCTCAAACAATGTAGATGATCTCCTCCACTTGTGAACCAGCCAAAACAGCTTTAAACAAAACTTAAACCCCTGTTAAAACTTTTATAAACTTGTTTAAAACATCCCATTGGTTACTGAGATAGAAGGGGGTTTGGGGGTTTTTATAGGAAGAGGAAGCAACAGCAAAAACCCCAAGGGAAAAGACCAAACAGCCTAAGAATCAGAAATCTGATTCTGTACCAAAAAATCCGTTGGGATAAAAGAAACTCCAGAGAGTTCGACGGTCGACCACGGTGGTCGACCGCAAGGAATTCAGCTTGACGGTCGACCATGGAGGTCGACCGTGAAAGTTTCTGCTACCCACTATGGAAAAGACTCAGGCACGGTCGACCGTGGCGATCGACCGTGAACTGATATATGAAATTTTACAGTTTTGAACAGTTTTCTGATTTTAAAACACTATTTAAAAATATCAAATAAATTCCAAAAAATATAAAACTTTGGGGAATGATTGTAGACATGATAATAAACATGCTACAATGATTGGTTTCTAAAAAGGACTTCCCAAATGAAAAATATCATTATTTTACAAAATAGTCCAAAACATGAAAATGTAAACATGTGAATTTTGACATTTTGGCTAAACCATGTTTTGAAACTTTGCGCAATGATTATGTAGACTTAATAAAATATGTATATGATTATTGTTAAGTCCAAAAACTAAGAATACAATATTTTTATAAATACAATAGAAAATAAAACATATGAGTATGTATATGAAAATATATTTGTTTCATATCTAAGTAGTTAAACCAAATCATAATAATAAATATGAAATATGTAATTTTATATTTGTAAACATGAAAACCCAAAACCATGCATGTATATATATAATTATATATATACATAGAAACCAAATACGTGTGTGTATATGATATTGAGCTTAGAGTATCTAACACACATAATATAAAACCTAAACTAGATTACCCAAGCCGATCTTGATCTTCAATAAGCTCGACTTGGTACACTTGCGGATGAAGCTTGAACTTGATCTTTAACTTTGAATTGCGTAGGCTTCACTCCATAATTCCGCCAACCTCCATTGGATATGATCGTGAATGCGCAATTCCTTCCATTCTCTAACTCGTTGTTTACCTAAAATAAATACGAAAGCACAAACACTAGACAAACAATATTAGATGTAAATTGTTTATAAATCATCATCAAAATAAGAAGGCCAACACCTATTACCTCCCAATGATGCCTCCTTGGAAGGCCCCAAATGCCTACGTGAACACCATCTAGAAGATCCTTCGTTCGATGAATAGAAGTACCAAACCCCACCTCGGTCTTCTTGCTCACACCAACATGTTCACAGAACTTCAATCTGTAGGTCAAGACACCTCTCACCAATCCATGCACGGTATCAACACTCGAATATCCCAGTCTCAAACGCCACAGTCTAGCCAAATCAATAGAAGTCGTCAGTTCTCCACCTATCATCGTGCTCCTAATCAAAAGTAAAAATTATTCTTCCTGACGTCCTTCATCACAATCATAGACCCTAATGTGACCTTTAGAGATGCATCCTCTAAGATCACTCTATAGCCTGCTGCCTCCAAAACTCCAAGTAAAATGATGTTCTTCAAAAACTACGGAATGAACCTCACTTCCTTCAACTCCCTAGTCACCTCGTCACACATCCTGATCCGAACTGTACTAATACTACCAATAGGGTATTCATGATCATTACCAATGAGCATGACATCCCCTCTTTCCAACTCCTCAAAGCTGGAGAACCAA